CTAAATTGTTTATGATACCGCAGGCAAAGTAAATGCTATGCTAATATGACCATATTTAATTGGGGGAGTAATGAGAAAAACTGTGTGTGTGTGTGTGTGTGTGTGTGTGTGTGTGTGTGTGTGTGTGTGTGTGTGTATTCAGAGCAGCTACAACTTACCTTTTTAAAAGTTTTCAACATGGAGTTGGTTAAATGCACAGATTTAGAGCACAGAGGTACAAATTGTTGGACGTGGGTGGATTTGAGATCATTTGAATTTTAACCCACAGCTCTTTGCTATGCTATGCTAATGCCGAAGTTCAGCATACTCCAAGTTTGAGCAACTGAGCTACAGGAGTACTGATTGCTATGACAGAGAAAACTGGACGATAAAGAGGAGGGGTAGCCATAGGTAACTGAAAACTACTGCCGCCCCCTGCAATTTTGACTAGTTTTGACTCTTTAACTGGAGATGTCTGAGGGGGTATGCAGGTAAAGATGTCAAATGAGCAGTTACACAGACTAGTTAAGCTCCAGGTTGGGGTTGTAGTGACTGGATCCTTTGCTTTGGGCTTGAGTTCAGATAAACTCAAAGTTGATGAAGGAGGGAAATGAAGATTTGCTGAGCTCCACTAAATTCCAAATACACATCATGCCACAGACGTTTCTCAGGTGTGTATTCATGCTCCAACACTGACTTTGTCCATGCCTGCTGTTCGAGTTACTGCATGCTATGAAGAAATAGCATGGCCGAAAGCAAGCTGGGGAGGAAAGGATTTCTTTGCCTTATGTGCCCATATCACTGTTCATCATTGAAGGCAGTCAGGACAGGAACTCAAACGGCCGGAACCTGGAGGCAGGAGCTGATGTAGAGGCCATGGAGAGGAGCTGTTTCCTGGATTGCTTCCCACGGCTTGCTCAACCTGCTTTCTTATAGAAGCCAGGACCACCAGCCCAGGGATGGCATCACTCACAATTCAAAACAACAACAACAACAAAATCACACATACACAGCTCATGATATTCTAAGCAAGTTTATAGTTTCTGTGTTGGGCCACATGCATAGACTATGCCAGTCACACTTGCCTGGAAGAGAGCAAAGCAGGTGAAATGAGCTAAAAGATGCTATCCTCTTTCGATACCACAGACGGACGGACGAACCACAGAGTAGAGATACCTAAGTTGCTTCAAGAGAAACTGGAGTTGAAAGATGGCCTGACCTTGAAGATGGGGGGATTGCAGGGGGAGGAGTAAATGAGGAGCATCCAAAGGGCATCCAAAGGACAGGAGAGGCCACACTTCACAGCTGTGCTAAAGGCACTTTCTCTTCCCTCTACTCTTTCCCCAGCTGCAGAGTTACTTGTGCCAATTTCCCAAACTTCTTTCTCTAGTGTTAATCACCTGGAGAACATTCAGTGACAAGTGCCAAAGTTCATTCTTGTTAATGGGCAAGGTTAGAACACACAGAACCGTAGAATTTTAAATTTAAAAAAAGCAAACCAAAATAACAAATATGTCACTTCCTCCCACAAGAATCATAGTTCTATGGTAACAATGAGAATAATACATGAGCTTTATATTTGTTTAAAAGGAGGAGGAAGAGGAAGAGGAGGAGTATCAAGTTCTGGCAGCCTGGAACCTTGATAATATAATTCCAGTTAAATCCGGTTGTAATGGAAGAAGTTGATAACACTAGATTTCACTTGCTAAGTAGACGCTACTAATTGTTCTTTCTTTTTAGTTTGTTGTTAATTTTTTTTATTTTTTGAGATTATAATATAGTTACATCATTCTCCCTTCCCTTTTCTCCCTGTAACACCCTTCCCCATATGCCTTTCCTTGCTCTTTCAAATTCATGGCCTCTAGTTTTCATTAAGAATTGTTACATGCATATAGGCACATGTATATTACCTACATGTTTCTAGATACATTAAATGTAGCCTGCTCAGTCTGTATAATTTTACTCATATGCCCGTTTTTATGGCTGGCCATTTGGAATGAGAAAACTAGCTGGTGTGTGCTTCCCTAGGGAAGACTATTTCTTTCACTCTCAGCATTCCCCAGTTGTCTGTAGTTCTTTGTGTAGGGTGGAGGACTTTTGGGCTTTCCCCATCCATGTTGTCATGTCTATTGTTGCCCTTGTTCAGCTGTTTAGGAAGTCATGTCGGTGAGATTTTATGGATGTACTTTCTGACATTCCTAGGAGATACAAACTTCCTGTTCCTCTCATTTGCAATCTTCCGGCCCCTTCTTCCGGTCCCTGAGTCTTGGGTTTAGGAATTGTTCTATAGATGTATACATTGGAACTCTGCAGTGGATTGCTTGTGGTTTTCTGTGCTGGTCTCCATCTGTTGCAAAGAGAGGATTCCTTCATGAGGGGTGAGGACTACACTCATCTGTGGGTATAAGACAAATATTTCTAATGGAGTTAGGAATATGCTGGCTTAGTAACATGGCAGCTGTAGGTTCTCCTCCAAGGCCCATGACTTCACTAGTCCTGCTAGTTGGCTAGGTTTCCAGTAGCAGGCATGGTTTCCCTCTTGCTAAGTCAGATTTAAGTTCTATTAGAGAGCAATTGGTTACCACCTAGGTATGTGGACAGGGTTTCTCTCATAGTCCAGGCTAGTTTGAACTCACTGTGTAGCCAAGGATGATGGCCTTGAACTCCTGATTCACAAGCTTCCACATTCCAAGTGCTGAGATTACAGACATATGCCACCATGCCAGGCTTATATTAATTTTTTAAATTGTTTTTGCTATTTTTTTTGAGACAAGGTTTCACTGTGTAGTCTTGGATGTCCTGAAACCTGCTATGTAAACCAGGCTGGCTTAGAACTCTTAGAGACCCTCCTGCTTCTGCCTCCCTATGCTATGGTTAAAGGCATATACCACCATACCCAGCTTATATTAAATATTGTAAATATAAAAGCCTTAGACAGGGAATGCATAGTGACTATTTTAATTGATGAAATAAAAAGAAGAGAGATGGCAGGTTAAATATTCATGTCCTTATTCATCAACAAGACATACAGTCTAACTCTTTGGTACTAGAGAAGAGAGAATTGCTACTTAATAGCCAAAAGCCATTCTACTTTAATAACTAATATTAATATACAACTTGTAGCCCCACTACATCTCTCTCTCACAGTTTGCAGAAGTAATTTTTTTCTATTATTATTATTATTATTATTATTATTATTATTAATTCAACAGGCTTGTTTCACATGTAAGTCCCTTTTCCCTCTCCCTCCCCTCACCCCGATCCCTCCTCCCCCACGTCCAACCTATCAGACACCCCATCCACCCACCACTCCCCAGGCAGGGCAGGGC